AAATGGCATTCAGTTCATGGCCAGCTGCACTAAATCGATTGCATTTCACATTTTACACATTTATGCCAATTGAATAACAATTTATTTATATATATATATATACGTATTTAGAGCTGTTGGCAATTGCATTGCTTTTCGATTTTCATGAAATTCATTTTACAAAAGCCCAACATTCAATGCATGTTTTATGGCAATAACAAAATGGAAATATTATTGAGTTAAGTTGACTTAAACACAAAAAATCGAAACAACGAATTTCTAATGTCAAAGACCAGAGTTTACAATGGTTTTTTAAACTATTTTCCCACATTGCCCCATCCAACTGCCGACTGCCCAAAGTGGCTGCCACTCATCAATATTGATTGAGGCCTGTTGTTGTTCTTGTTGTTGTTGTTGTGCAGGTGCCATGTTACTTTACAATTTTCGGCACGAATTTGTTATGCCACAAATCCCCAGCAGCGCTTGTCAAAAACTGTTGCTGTTTGCCACGTTCAGGTTGGCCAAAAACCCAGGCGTAACGAATTGGCCAACACCCCGTTGCAATCAGCCAATCAGCCAATCATAAATACTTCATTACGTTTGCACTCCCCGCAAAGGGGCCACAGCACGCTGCACAGTGCATCAAAACACATTTATCGAGTGTGTAATTATGTATGTGTTTTAGCCCGCCAACAAACATATTCTTAACTATTTAGGGGAGATTCATGTACTGTGATTGTCTATCATAAGTCATGTCATAAATTATAAGTCAAAATGCAGAAATTATAAGCATGTTAAAATTAAGAATGTAGATTGCCTAATTTGCGAAAATATTAATATTTTTATGATTATGATTAGATTATTAAATTTAATTCAATTAATAATTAATCAACCATCAGAATTATTATATATTTTACAGTATTTTTTTCCTTTTTACTTTCATTTTTAAATTTTAAAATCAAGTTATTCCTTGAATTTTTCATAATTTTATTCAACATTTTTATTTATTAAAACGTTTTCTACAAAATCTGAACTGTTTTTAATTTACTTAGTTTCCATCAAAAATAATAATAAAAAAGGGTCATTGATATAAGTAATTGATAATAATCATCGATAACAGAGGGTAAAAACACTAATTAATAAGAAAATCTATTTCTTCGCCTTGCTCTCCAGCTATGCTCAGTCTCAGTCGTCTTAACTCATCTCCAAACGCCCTTAATTCATTTTATCTTTGCCATAAATTTGTTTGGTCTGATTGGATTTCTCTGGTTTGTCTGCAATTCTTGCAGCAAATTTTAGACCAAAATTCAAGCAAATTTGTTGATATCAAAATAAAACAATTAATCTTAATTTTATATACCAATTTAAACTAAGAAGTTTTCGCATTTTCCCACATAATTCAAATTTCCAATTTCCAATTGCCACATTTAGCTGCACTGTGCTACGGCTACTTTGACGATTACTGTTTTCAAAGGTGTACTGCAGCTAAGGGATGGGGGATGGTGGTGGCAGGTAAGGGGGTGGCAGGCAAGGGTTACATCTAGCACATTAGTGAACCATTTTCAAAGCCATGCATTGGCATTAATTTATCCATTTTGGCAGATTGCACGTCGAAAATCGAACGTTTCAAACATTTCTGGCTTGGTTGCATATTTGAGGCGCTTACTGAATGTCGCTTCTTGCCCTCGTCGTTGGGGAGATTGTGTGTTGCGGGTGTGGCAGGGGAGGGGAGGGGAGGTGGTAGGTGGTTAACTGTAGTTGCCTTGCACGTAAATGTAAACACCTGAAAGCAGATTGTGCGAACGTGCTGCAAAAATAATAACAAGTCCGTTTGGTTTGCCAAATTGCTATTTATTAAAAATCAATGTGGCAGGCTACAAAATCAGCAATTTAACCAGCCTCGTGTGGCAAGCACACTGGTGGCATAGTGCTGACTGTGTCTCTCTGCTTGTGTCTGCTTCAGCTGGCCGAGTACACAGCGCAAAATAAATGCATTCTAAAACCAATTTCGCAAAAGATAGAAAAGCATTAAAAAAAAACGAAGCAATATCATTTTATATATATAGACAAACTTGTTTATCAAATTTATTTATAATATCTTTATTTTATTTGTTTTTCACTTTTGATGCGTTTTACTTTTGAGTCTAGAATGTATTCTTGGTTGAACATTGATTTTTTTGTCAGTGTACAGGCGACAGTTGGCAGTCGACAGTCGCTACGATTGAGCCTCGGGGCCGCAGTGCGGTCGGTGTTGCTGTCATGCTCCAGTAACTGTTGCAGCAACACCCACACCCACACACACCCACACACATCAGAAACACTCACATTACAGACAGCACGGCACATATGCCAAAAGCCGAGTCTGGTCACCGGCATCTGGTCAGCCAGGCGACATTTCCGGGTAGTTTGAAGTAATTGCTGTGCAAGCTGTTGCCAACATCGTCGTCCTCGGCACAAGGATGCCGCAGTCTGTTGCACGGGTCCAGAAGGGGTCGCGTGGCAGGGGCGAGCAGTGTAGTGGTCAGCTTAACTTAGCCGGCAAGCGGCTTAAGTTAGGCAGTTGACCAAAACGACAGCAGCAACAGCAGCAGCAACAGCAACATCAGCCACAGCAGCAGCAACAGCAGCAGCAACAGCAGCAGCAACAGCAGCAGCAACAGCAAGCGACCCACGCGGCGTATGCGAAATTTGACAAAATAAATGCGCCCCGAAGCAAATTTGGCAATTCGTGCAGCAGCTGCTTGCAACACACTAAACGAGGGCTGCTTGAAAAGTTGACATTTGGCATTCATTGAGGCTTTTAGACTATATTATCGATAACTAGTTGGTGATTTGTACGTAATTAAATTGTTTCTTTTGTATTGATTAAAATAAAAAACAAATTAATTATTTTGGTAGTTTTTTTTAATCTTTATTCAGCTTTTACAAACGTCTTTTTCGTATCTATCATCAATCTCTCAAATACTTTGATTGTTGAGCATTGCTAATAATATTATTTAAAAATTGATATTAATTGTGACTTTTATACTTGAAAATGAACACAAATTTTAATATAAAAATCCTACAAATTTCAAAAAACTTAATCGAATTCAAAAAGGAATAGGTTTTATTTTGGTTTTGTTTTTTTTTTATGTAGTTTACATTGATTGTTCATCTATATTTGATTCACTTGATTTTCTGGTACTTTTGCTTGCTTTCCCCTTTGATAGGATATTTTTCGAATAAAAAGTTCTACGTGACTTTGCTCTGCAGTTTTCCATCTTTATTTTCGGGCAGCCTTCGTTGGTTGCAGTTCTCACATCCAATTGAGAGTTTTCTTTTCAGATTGCCTTCCATTTTTTTTGTGGGCCGCGTGGAACTGGCAAGCATGGAGTTGGTCGGGGAGGGGGTAGTTTGTTGGTTGAGTGAGGGGAGGGGAGGGGAGTGGAGTGGCGCAGAGTTGGAGCGTTGGGCCAACAGATGGCGTGTGTATCCGTAGCGGCATCCGTAAACATATCCGGCTCCGGCTTTGCATTGCGAGTCGCGCGTTTTGCATATTAACTAAGTGAAACATTTCGTTGACGACTTTTCAAACATTGGTGCGTCCTGCACAAATATTTACCTATGTGTGTACATGCAAGGACACACACAGACACATAGACAAAGCCAACTCTCCGCTCCGGGAGCTTCGATTCGATTTTGAGGCCCTTTTTTGTCGCCTCAAGACATTTGAAATTGAAATTTAAATTCGATTCAAGGGAAAGGAAAAAAAAATTGTGGAGAAAGGAAAAGAAATTCGGGCGCATCCTTTTGACCGTATCGCTTAACGTTTTCTTTTAGCCAACACTCGCTTCTTCTTCATCTTCTTCTTCTTCGTGTTATTTATCACCGGCTCTAGCTGCAACATTTCGGATACAAATTCACAGACACAGCCCCAGCAGTCAAATGAGTCCAATAAGTCCATGAAAGTCCTTTCCTGGCAACCCCACGCTGTCTGTGCTGTTTGTGATGTCTGCTTCAGGATTTGTGCAAAATAGCTAACTGAAAAAATATGTGTGTTTCTTTGTGTGTGTGTGTGTGGGTGTGTGTGTTCCTCCCATACATATTTATTAAATATTGAATGTTTTCTTTTGCCTTAGCTGCCTGCAGGCCAAATATTTTTCCTTTTTTATTTAGCGTTTTTTTTGTTTCCTTTCAGTCCTTTGTGCCAGCGGCAAGGAGCACCCTTCAAGCAACTCCCAGACGAGGGACCGGGGCTAATACGCCAATATTCCTATATGCAAATGATGATGATGATCAATTTGTTGCCAAAATGGCAACCATCATTGCGCATTAGAAAGTCATTTATCTGACAGTTAGACGTTTGATATCTGTGATGACAATTTATGGATATTTTTAATGCACCAAAGTGCCCTATAAACTGTTTAACAGCTCAGCTACTTATCTTGGTTTCTTAAAGCATTAGCAATAAGTTTAGATGATATAAAAAAAATTCATGCAGCTATTCTGCAACACAGAGTAAGATTCGTAAAATATATATATATATATATATATAATAAGCATTTCAGACCCCATAAAGTCATAAAGCCAGACTCCATCAAGTCCACGCGAACAAGCTGATCTCAGAAACTCTAAGAGCAAGAACCCCAATTTAATAAATATTCATATACCAAACACAGATCAGGCTTGCTTAAATTTATCGATAAGTGTCTTGTTTGGCGAACATTGATACAAATCTCTTTCCGATAGCAAAACAATTGTAATGATTTCGCCTTCCATCTTATATACTCTGACGTATTTTTAATGATCGGATAAGAAATACAGATTTTATTAACCGAAACTGAAAACCTTTTCATAATGAACAAATTATGAATTTAACAGCTGGGTTCAAGAAATCTCCCAAATATGTTGCATATTTGCATTACACAAGCGTTTGCACCTTATCTCTTTATTTAATAAAGATATTTGAGCAGTAGACAATTAATTGTACATGCGGAAAGATTTATTTTGAGATTTTTTGTAATTTATTTTTTTTTGTATTCTTGTTGTTTTTAATTTTTTATTTTATTTTTCTACCTATTGTTTGTATGCGAGTTCCATATCGTTGGATATTGGTAAGTATTGGGGTAAGCGATAGCTCAACGACCCCAGATCTCGACGGTGGAATTGAGGCCTTTGCCAACCAGGCTGCGCAGATTGATTTGGACAAAGCGATAGCCGGGACCGCCGGACCACAGACTGGGCGTGGCACCGGAGCTGTTGCGGAAGTTATCGATCACATTGACAAAGGTTATGCTGTACATGTTGGTGGTGCCCTAAGAAACCAAACAAATCTATGTTAAATGAACTGCAAACTGAATGGAATTCTCCATTGACTTACGGAACGGGGGAAGTCCACGTTGACGTTCCAGTAGTTGTTCTTGATTGGGTAACGCACCTCCGTTTGGCGGGACAGCAGATAATCGTTGCTGTTCCTCTTGCCCCAGGAGGCGCTGTAGGCCTGGCTGGCGGCGAACAGGGCCAGAAGCAGAACGCAGCTGTATTGGAATTTCATTGTGATTGCTTGGAGACTCCTTGTTTGACTGTGATTCAGTTCTGCTGCGATCGCTCTTTATATAGCAACAGCTCTGCTATGAGTAATTTTGTTTACATACGAGTGTTTTGTTGTTGTCTCATTTTTAATTAACTTTCTGTTAGTGAGAAGTGTTCACTTTTGCAAGCTTATCACTACCGGGCCCAGGGGCGTAGACAGAGACAGCTTAAGAGGTCTTGCGGAATGACAGAGCGTCTACCCCCGCAACGAGAACAGGTGACAAGTAGGCAGTGTAATCAGTTGAATTGATAAGGTGAGGGGATTGTTATTCTATTATTACAGTTGATGTTGACTCACCTCGTCGAAGTGGCTGGACACATGTGGATGTTTTAAATGACCACTCGATACTCTTATCAAAATTATAGAGAAAATCCGACTTTTGAAGTGCTATCGGATTCGTGGAAGCTGTTCGCTCAATAAAAATTGTGATAACCACACCATTTGGTTATCTATTTTATGGTTTGGGTACTTTTTCTTAGATGATTTGATGATGATTGTGCAGAAAATGAGTTCGGAACTATTCGCAATAACAAAGTGAATGCTATTTTTGGAGATTGATAACATTTGCATATGGAATATTTTCCAATATGCCAATGCTTATCAATTGTGCGTGTAAATGTAATAGATTCGTCTGCAGATGTAATCGATTCTATTGCAATGAACATCTTCATTTTGGTCTCGTTCTCTTTTATTGCGCAGAATTCTTTTGATCGGACAGGCACGTGCCATCCATTGTTGATCTTCCTGCAATTGATCTTTCTCTTCATTCAACATTTTGGCATCTATTATAATAGGGGTATTTGTATTTGCAACTTGCGTCATTTTGTTTGTATCTCATTTTTTTATTGGGTCAGCTTAAACTTTGCTGATTGGACGATAAGATAATTTGTTGCGTTCTCTCTGACTGCATATTAACATATTTTTGTTTGCAATTTAACAGAGCACTGCAATTTAACAGAGCACTGTAATTTAACAGAGCGCAGACTCTTGAATAACAGCTGCTGCGGCCAGCGAAATTCACTCAATTTGACGAGTTTATCTAATTATTAACGGGTATGATAAAACCATGTATATATTTTGAACTATTCATGCCTTTATCAGTGCTGTTGTGTAATTAATTGAAACATTTCTGCAAATACTGAGTGATAACAGGGTTGTTTGTTTACTATTTGCAGCTTAGCAGTTAAATATAGAATTCGCCAGAAAATGACCTTAAGTGGATGAAGAGTGAAGATTGTATTTGATGTATGCATTTAAATGGAAAATGTGTCTCTTGAGGCCATAATTACTTTATAATTACTTTAAAGTCACAAAATCCGTTGGCAACATTTATCAATAAGCCGCAATTTATATTCAAATACGAAATCTCTGCTTAAAGTTTATTTACACTCATTACTCTGTACATTTCAAATGATATCTTCGCCAATGGCACTCAAACAATTGCAGTATTTGAGTAAAATGTGGAAGCAAGCAGTACATATATATATGTTTATATATATTTATATATATGTATGGAATATGAATAGAAATTTGTGCCGACAGGCATTTTTGGCCAGAAACGAACACCAAGCCATGTTAGCCTGGGGTTATCATTGTTATGCACGGAATTTGTTTAATTATGCTGGAAGTTTGTGGGTTCATTAAAGTGCTGATTACTAATATTTCAAATGTCTGGCCAGGAAATCCCTCAGCATTGTGTTTAATATTTGCTCAGCCAATTGAGTCGAATACAAGTTTATACACAGTTCACTATATTTCAGCTGCAGTTGGGTTGAGGACCTCCTGGGGCGTTGTGGCTGCCACACGCCTGCCCCCACAAAAAAGACGATTCTAGCTCTTATCTGGACTGGCGTCTGCTGACGAAGTGACTCTTGGCCTGGTTGGCTGCATATTTATTGCAAATTACAAAACCCGAAAGTCGCTTGGCTCGAAATAAAATCTCATTACTTGCAGCAGCCTAAAGCACGCGCCTGATAAGGCCAGAGTGGGTGGTGTGTGTGGGGGGAGGGGGATGTGCGACTGTTTGGGGGAAGGGGGGTGTTTCTGCCTGCTCCCAATTGCAGTTGAGCAGACATATTTGTCACTTATGAAAGGGATAATTTGCCACGCTTGCCAGCAACAACAAAAAAGTCAACGGGGCGGAGAAGTGGGAAGGGTGCGCTTCGGGATTTGTACAAAAGAAAAATGCCTGTGGCCAGTTCAGCAAGGGTAGGGGTTTGGGGGTGTAAGGCAACGCAATTGCAATCGACTGTCGGCATTTTTATGCAAAACTTTTTAATCACATTTTATTGACACATTTGACAAGGGGAAGGGGAAAATGGCTGTGCTGTTTCTCGGGGGAATCGATTTCCATTTTTAAATTGGGCAATTAAGGGCGGCTGACTGCTGTTGCTGCTGTTGCTGTTGCAAGCATTGCCCGATAAGCAATTTGCAGCTGGCAAGTACCCTCATTGTCACACACACACACTCACACACACACACACACATACGCCTGTTCAACTCGAGTCGACAATTGCCAAATTTAAAAGCAATAAACGTACGAGCAAATTTCTGGGTTTATGCCACGTTCTTTACTTTCCCTCGTTTTTCCGTCTTCTTTTTTTTTAACTGTTTGACAAGGGGCGGCAGCGCGTGGCACTCGGCACCCAGCACGTTGCAGCCACCACCAGCCACCCTCTTCAGTCTCCTCAGCAAGTGTCGTGAGCTGTGAGTCTGACTGGCATTCCGGTGCTGGCAGTGCCATTTCTGAGTTAAACATGCAAAGGCTTCCCTTTCATTTGCGCTTTCAATGCCAATTGAAGCGCACCCCAAAAGAAATTCACAGCCCTCAGCACAGCACCTCGCCCCCTTGCACAACCCATTGCAGGGCAGAGTTCAAAATGCGCTTTGGAAAAATGTCAAGTGCGGAATGTGCACTTTTGACAGTTTCAGTTCATTCGCCAGTCACTCACACTCAGGCACACACACACCCGCCCCTCGTCCGACGTCTGGCGAACCCTGACAAGCCAGTCCTTAACCCTAAAACATCCCTCACACACTGACTGCCATCCAGACACGTACCCATAATAAAACTTGCAGCCGACTCAAAAACAAAGCGATGCGATTAGCCAAGTTGGGTGACTTGCCAAATACCCAGTAATCAATAAATACAAGTGCATTTATAAATTGCCAGCGCAAGAGTAAGCTACAAGATGCTGCAACTGCCAAATATTAGTTGAGACTCTAGTTTTGCATTTTTCGATAGCTTTCTTTATATTTTGAGTTTATTGTTTTTTTTTTTTTATATTTATTGTATTTTTCTAGATATGGTTTGGATGCGAATAGTCAAACGAGTTTCGTGTCGGGGCCAGTAATAGCTTAGCGTCCCCAGATCTCAACGGTGGAGTCCATGCCCTGGCTAACCAGGCTGCGCAGATTGATTTGGACAAAGCGATAGCCGGGACCACCGGACCACAGACTGGGCGTGGCACCGGAGCTGTTGCGGAAGTTATCGATCACATTGACAAAGGTTATGTTATACATGTTGGTGGTGCCCTAAGAAACCAAACAAATCTATGTTAAATGAACTGCAAACTGAATGGAATTCGCTATTGACTTACGGAACGGGGGAAGTCCACGTTGACGTTCCAGTAGTTGTTCTTGATTGGGTTACGCACCTCCGTTTGGCGGGACAGCAGATAATCGTTGCTGTTCTTCTTGCCCCAGGAGGCGCTGTAGGCCTGGCTGGCGGCGAAAAAGGCCAGAAGGAGAACGCAGCTGTACTTGAAGTTCATTGTGATTGCTTGAAGACTCTTTGTTTGACTCTGATTCAGTTCTGCTGCGATCGCACTTTATATAGCAGCTGGTCAGCTGTGAATAAAATTGTCTTTTTTTTTGTTGCCTTAATCTTTAATTAACTTTCATTTAGCCAGAAGTATTCTTTTTTTGGCAGCTTATCACTGCGGGCCCATGGGCGTAGAAAGAGCATACAAAGCTTGAGAGTTCTGCGAAAAGATAAAGCGTAAAAGCCCAGCCCATCAATCAATTGACTTGATAAGGCGAAGGAGATCGATAATTACAGTAATCAAATAAATTGCGGATAAGCTTAAGCAAATGTTATTAAAAACTGTGCAAATTGAAGCAGATGCATAACATTGATATCGATATTGATCGATATGATCGGTGTGATCACCAGCTTGAAGAGGAAGAGCTCAATCGTAGACAATAAAGAAAAGAGACGGATTTCTTGACGTTGGACACGTTTGCTACATTTCGATCTATCCTCTTTACACTTTGCTTACAGGGTATTGCAAACAAAATCAAATATTAGAAAACCGTCGGGCAGGAAGAACCATTCTCACCCTCGAATCCATTCACAGCGTGTGTTTTTTATGTTTTTAATGTGTTTCGCTGTTAGTGCCGCATTTGGTTGCCCGCTGCTGTTGCTGTTGCTGTTGCTATTGCCAGCAATTGGAATTAGTTGCTGCTGCTAACAAAATAGCAGTAAAAAGGAACTTAATGCGACAGCAGTCGACAACAAAGCCAAGAACAACAAGAACAAAAAGAAACGGAAAGCAGCCAAAGAGTTGGAAATGCTAAAAGCAAAAAAAAAAAACAAAAAAAATAATAAAAAAGTAAAAAGAAGAATGGCAAAAAGTAAAGTATAAAGTTGAAAGCACATAAAAGCGCTTAGTTGCTTTGCCTCAAAGCTCAAAGCGGTTGTCGCTTAAAGTTGCCACCAACAGTTGCCATTGTTGTTGCAGCTGCCGCCTTTTTGTCTTTTTGTTGTTGTTAATTGCTGACTTAATGGCGCTTTAATTAAATCGCAACACTGCAGGCGGCAACTCGACTTAACGTGCCACACAATTTACCGTAAATTAAATACGCCGTCGGCTATATATATGTATATATATACATATTTAATAACTACATCTGTACACTTTTGTACACTTTTGTTGCCAACTCACAAAGTTCTTAACTGTTTGCGCCAAAAAGTTGCGCAATTTTTATCAATAACTGTAAACAAATCTGTTTGTGCTGACCGCAGACAAGAGATAAGCTACTGTTGTGGTAGCTCTTGTTGTTGCAACTTGCAAGTGATTCATTTGGCTGCAACCCCAAAACTATGCAGCACTTCTTCTTCACAGCTGTCTGCAGCCTGTTTCGATTTGTATGCTCAGCTGGCTGGGCACCCGCCTGGGCACCCGCCTGGACACCCGCCTGGGCACCCGCCTGGGCATCCGCCTGGGCCACCCGCCCTTTGCCATTCATTGGCTGGCCATTGTCTATTGTGGTTTAATTGCTGCTTTTATCATTCGCATCGATTCGATTCGTTTCAACTTGAATTATCGTCGTTGTTGTTCTTTGCGAGATGCGAACTACAAATTTGGTGGAAAATTGCAATTAACCCCGAAACAGTTGCCATTTAACGCAAGAACAATGGCAACTCTTGTTGCTGCACCCAGCTGGAACTGACAACATAAATAAATTGCCGAGCAGCAACAATTGCTCCAGCAATAAAAAGACGGACTGAAATTGCTTTTTATGCAAAAGAAATCGTTTCAAGTTGCCCACCCAATTCCAATTTTGTTGAATTTTCATGCATACTAAACTACTTACGTAGGGAATAATGTTGAAAGCTATATTTTTATATTTGCAACTCATACACTCAATACATATATATATATATATATATATACATTTGAGCTAGGCACATTCTTGGTTTAATGTTGTTTCTTTTTTTTTCATATAATATTTACGTTTAATCAAATGGAAAATCCGTTGCAATAACTGAAACTGTAATAATAATATCACAGTGCCAGAGAGCTGCACCCTTGTGAACTGTACATGTGTGGACACATTGCTGCACATAGATATATGGCTACATATCTGCGCTTGTACATCTCGTATTCGTCTCAAATTGCAGTAAATATCGCAGTATAATCTCTATCCGATTTCTATACACTTGCGCATAGCACTTTAGTTTTTATAGCTGATATGCGTAATAAATTGAAATAGATAATATTTCAACTACAACAAAAAGTTGAAATGCATATGATGAAAGCTGACGAATGCCCTGAATTTTAGAAAAACTTACCATTTTATTGTTTTGTATTCTTAATCATATTGTTATTATATTATTGGAAGATTGCCCACTGAGCTACGAGGTCTTTAAAGAAGGCAGCATCTAATCTGCAACTATCAGTCAAAAGAGCAAATTTCATTACTATAATTTCAAGAGAAGACAAAGAATTTTTTTCTAAGAATCAGGTTTACACATTTCTAATTTTTTGAAATATTTTCTAATATTAGGAAATATATTTTCAAAAAATATAAAAAATTAAATTTCTTACATTGGGAACTTTATTTTCATATATATTTAGAAATTATTTCTACAAGCAGGAAATTTAGAGTGATTTTTTTTGGACATCATAGAAAAAAACAGTTAATCAGAATGTTTGTTGGACGAAAAGCAGACAAAAACCAAATATAACCTGGCAGAATGTTATTAATGATCCAATTATATATATCGCAGAGTTGTCAAATATCTGTAGGAGTGTTCAAACCACGTCAGCTTAAAAATAACAATTCTTTCGTGTTTTGATTTGATTTCTCCTTATTGCGTAGCATTGAAATGTATTTATTTTGTGGTTGTGAGCTTTACGGAGTGCAATCAACGTTTCACCATAAATTGTTTTTTACACACACACACAGCAATTTGCATATATCATTTTAATTAAAGTCGCAATAGAGTGCATAAAAAATACATTTGCCTCACCCCTAAACCACCCTATACAGCCACGAAATTGATTATATTCGCTGGGTTCCACAATTTGTTTACAAACATCAAATAAATTGAACAAACAAATAACTATACAAAAGTTTCCAAATTGTATTATGTGACAAAAATTACAATGATGAAAATTAAATTCTTTATCTTTTCCCATATATTTTCTTTAATGTGCTATTCATATTTTTTTTATCAAATATGCACAATCCATAATTGAATTGAAATCCATTTAATCAGCACATATATCAACAAATGCCTTGAAACTATAAAATCACTTATATAATGACAGCAATTTTCTGCAATTGTGTAAGCTGTCAATTAAATAGATTAATCAGTTAAATTTTAATATCATTACAACACAGGTCGTATGCGTAATGTAGAAAGGTATGAGACTGACTAATGGCTTAGAACTCGATCTCTAGATTTGAATTTCAAAGTTACTTAACAAAGTAACTTAAATAGAAAATGTCTTAAAGTGGATTTTTGAACTCGATCTGTGTGTTAAACAAGCTTAAATTTTCATCACTCTAAATATAAAATGTACCTATATAAAACATGCGAGTTGTTTGACATTATTTATCCATTTATTGTTGCTGAGGGATCCGCAGACGACGACGCAATCTGTGTCCCTTGCTAAGTGTTGTAAATGGTTGCAAATGCACACACGTCATTAGTGTTGACAATTATGAGAGCGCATAAAAACTTATTAAGCAGCCAGCACACAGTACACAGCACACAAAACACAGCACAGCACGGCTCAGATTGGTTGGGCGTGCCGGCAGGCGGTGTGGTGCAGTCCGACTGGTGGCGCAACTGATGTTCGTATGTGGCACTCGATTTCGGGCACGCACAGCAAACAACTTTGGCATCACCCAAAGCCTTTTGGTCAACTGTGAGTTGCTCCAGTTTTTGCCAGCTCAGCGAGCAAACATACAACGTGGCACTTTTTATTCTGCCACTTGCCATTTGCCACATGCCGCTTGCCTCGTGCCACTTGCCACTTGCCACTCAACGAAGTGCTGCCGTTATGAAAACCAGCAGCGAATGTTTTGCGACTAGCAAAAACAAAAAAAAAAAATCAAAAAGGAAACAAAAAAAAAACAAGAGAAAAACTGACAGTGATTTTGTAATTAGACCGTTGTCAGGGCGGGGGAGGAGCAAGTGCCAGGAGTGGAGGTCAGAGGGCGTTCTCCAAATGCGCCGAGTTCAACATTTGACACGCACAGCAAGTTTGTATTGGGTAAGAGCCAAGCTGAAATTGACTGAACGTAAGCAGTTTCCGGTCCTATGCATGCTAAAGGCACTGCTCACAGAAGGACATATTTCAGCACAGTTATAACTAATTTTTCTGGTCAGAAGCATGCCAGAAACTACTTTTAACAGACTATCTGCCAAAATCACAGCTCACAGAAGGGAAATCACCATCAGTTTCTCAGCTTGGACTTACCTACCAAGCATTCGGGCAAGTGTATACTAGTTGAAATGAAAAAATGACTCGGATTTTCATGTGGCGTGTGGTTTGTGGCAATAGTTTCTACTGGGCTGCCGCGTACGTGCGACGGCATGGACATCACGCATACGCCGCGTTAGCCAAGACAAAGCAATCAAGCAAGCCAACAACAAGTGACAAAGCAAACGAACGAGTTGAGTGCAGTCGACGTTGCAATTTGAATTGTCTGTTGCAACTGTGTCAACTCTTTCTTGGGACTCCTGGAATGCTGTAAAACCCAATAAGAGATAATAATAGTAAATAGAGCTTTGTGTGCGTTTTTGATGATTCAAAAGGAACATTTATTTAATTTGCTTTTGTTTTTCATTTCATTTAGTTGTTTGTTGCTTGTTGTTGTTTGTAGCTGTTGTCGTTTGAGCAAAAATTGAATTTCTGCTTTTGCCGTTTTTTTTGTTTTTGTTTTGCTATCTTAAATTGCCACCACCCACAGAGACAGAGTTCTCAGAGAAACCCAAAAACTGTCGCACAGATGATATTACATTTAGGATGTGTGTGTCTGTGCGTGTGTGTGTGTGTGTGTATGTGTGTGTGTGTTTGCATGTTCGTATTGTGGGGTGGGCTGTGTTTAGTGATGTGTGTATGTGTGTGTGTGTGTGTGGGTTACTTTAGCAAATATTTATCCAATACACATACATAGTATACTAGGGTACACATATATCTTAAGTTAGACAGAGACAGTGAATACATCTATATAAAAATTGGGTAGTGTTAAAGAGTGAGAGACGTTTAGAATCTGAATGATGATAATTTTTAAGGTTTTGTTTTGCTTTGATTGCTGTGTGGCAGAGCATATATGTGTATGTGTGTGTGTGTGTGTGTGTGTGTGAGTGTATTTTGTATATATATATATGTATGTGTGATTATGTGTGTGTTGTCTTAAAAATACATAGAGAAAACCTAGTTGATGCATGTTCTAGTCGTCGTATCCTTTTGCAGCTTTGTATTTTCATTTTGCTATTTGGTATTTGGATAGTAGCAAAATGTCCCCTGGGGATATTGTTAGCTATTTGTTTTTGCATTCGTTTCGCTTTAGAGTTGTTCAATGTGATGACAAATATACATAGATACATACATATACAAATACATACATACATTCAGGATACATACAAGTACGAGTTATAGTATTATATGTAAATATATAAATGAAACACATTCAGTTAGTTATAGTAAGTGTGTGTGTGTGTGTGTGTGTGTGAGTGTGTGTGCTTGTGTGTGTCAGTGTCAATTATCATTAACTATTTAAAATTGTTTTACACTTAGATGCATCTGCCTAGCAGCTTCACATACTTAGCATATACTAGATACATACAGTTGAGAGATCAGAATCTGTTGCGACACATTTAGCAGAGAATTCTATTTTCTAGTCATTTAGTATTTAGTGAGTACTCGTATTTGGTAGTAGTAACATTCATATTCATTCATCAGTGTTGCCATTACCTTTGAGTGCAAAGTAAATATATGTTGAGCTTGAGTTGACAGTATTTTGGTTTTGTTTTTTTTTTTGGGTTTTGGTTTTGTTTAGTTTGCCTATGCTTAAAAATAAAACATACATTTAGTGATATAGCTTACATAGCTAGACGAATAAGCAGCGGTTAGTGTTTGAAATAATTACTTAGTATCTGTATTTTCTGTATTTATTTTGTTGTTGTCGGTTTTTGATTTGTTGGTATTTGGACTATCAAGCACTGATTGTGCTTTCATTTTATTGCACTTTCAACAATTACAAAAAACATTTAATCTATATTTTGATGTGGTGCTGTTTGCTATTTAAGTTGCTGGTTGGTTAGAAATTTCAATTTTTTGCTTGCATGGTTTTATGAGCAACTTTTAGTTGCCTTTGTCAACAGAAATGCAAATAATAGCATAAATAGAAATAGAAACAGAAACAGAATCAGTGTAGCGCAATGCAAACTAAAGCTTAAACATAAACATCAACAATAATATCTTAATCTAAGCTGGAAACAGTACGAGCAGTCGAAAAAAACAAGGGACAGCAATGAAAACTTTAAACTTGGGAAAAATGCCCTCCTAAAACACGAGTACACTGAGCCAAGCCATCAGACAAATATGCAAATATTGAATTAATAAGTTTCTAAAGAGCTTCTTTTGTATTGAGTAAATGCAATTGAATTTAAGATCCAACAAAATGCTTGCTTAGCTTTAAGTGAACTCAATAATATAATCAAACTTGCACTCTGCTAAATACTTGCTCTTTCTAAAACTCAAGACAGACTAGACTCTAGAGTTAGCTGAAGTAGTTGTCAGTTGTTAAAACTAAATAAGTGTATTGTTTATTGGGTGTGTATTTTCTTTGGTGGTGGTGGTGTGTGTTGTGTGTGTGTGTGCGGTGTGTGTTGTGTGTAGCTTTAGTGCTTTGAGTCTCTTAAGTAATTTGTTCATAACTATTAACTTTAGCTCGGGTCATTGACAAGTCTACGTTTAACAATTGCATTTGCCTCACAGTGTCTGCCGTTTTCACCTGATTCTGATTCTAATTTGAACTTCAGCTGTCGCTGTGCCTCTTTTTGACTCATTTGGACTCCATTTGACTTTGTAATCAGTCGAGAGTTCTTCTTATAAATATTATATGTGATAATAATCATAATATGTAATAAAAAAATGCTCGTTGGTAAATAAATAAATATAAATATATCGTTTCATAACAATTGAGGACAACATTTGAGAACAAAAGATTCCGTATTTTGTTGTCGCACATTCAATTCTAATTCTTCGCCTTCTACTTTCTCTCTTTCATTCACGCTCGCTCTCTCTCTCTCTCTGTTTGTGTGTCTACTTTTCTCTTTTCTTATACACATTCAATAAAATATGCACTCTCCATTAATTCACAATCGTTTATCTTTAATTTAACTTTGCATATCGCAATCTGAAGTGTATACATATACTATTATATAAGCATGTGTTCTTATGTGTACTCAATTTCTAGCTACTTAAATACCCAACTGGACTTACTGGGTACCAATGTGTTCCAAAGAACGCTTTCGCTTCGATTACAAGGCGAATTATTGAGCTGCCTCATAGACACTTTCCATACAACAAGGACTATGGGAAAGTTATTCGATTTTAGACGAGGAGATAACGTTTTTGGGAACACTGCTGTATTGGTATATTTGCGTATTTTGAAGTGCAATTGTCTGCAATTGGTTTTGATTTAATTGGATTCGTGCCACTTAAACGCCTTAATATTTACTTAGACAATACGTCACTATATAATATTTATATATATGTACACAAACATACATACATTCAAAGGTTACACACGCCAGAGAAATTGTTAACAGGTAATTCACATTAAATTCTCACATTTAAAATGCAAAAGTTTTCAATTAAATTTATCTTACTTAAGTATCTCGCTTATGCATTTATTGCATTCAGTAAATTGCCCAGCTGCAACCACTATCCACATGAATGATTGACCTGCAGTGCTCTTTGAGTCAGTTCATCATCCTTAGATATACATGCCCAGATCAACGTGAAAGTCCTGCAGATAGGACAACAGCTGGGAAGGTGTCGGACGCTGTTTTGGCTCGCAGTGCCAGCAGCAGTTCATAACCGTAAAACTGTGGGTCAAAGGCATGGGGTAGGGATTGTTTTTTGGGTTGGTGTAAAGGGTTGGTCGGTTATTGGACTACAGTTAAGTCTACTCACAATTCATCCGGACAGTTGACGGGCTGCTCCAGGCGGTAGCCGGCAGCCAAGTAATTGGTAAGCTCAAATATGTCCACCTCCTCGTGCGGCATCTGGGCGAGTGTCACCAGCTCCCAGTAGAGTACGCCCAGTGCCCAAACGTCACCCTGTGTGGTGTAGACCTTCTTCTGCAATGACTCCAGCGACAGCCACTTCAACGGACGATTCTCGTTGTCGCCCAGGCAGTCGTAGTCATCCGGAAAGAGATCTCGCGAAAGTGCGCTATCGCAAATCTTCACATACGCCTCCTCATCCACGCTGTGAATTGACATGGGAATTATACATTGTGCCCCCCACACCCCCTCATCTTGCCTGTGTACTTACTAGCAGTTACGTGTGGCCAGATCCTTGTGCACAATGCCCAGCGAATGGAGATAGGCCAACGCCTTGGTTATATGCAGTCCGAACTCGACCAGTTGGCGAGTGCTCAGCGCTGTGCTCGACTCCCTCGACTTTTGCAAGTAGCTGTCAATGACATAAATCACAGTTAAAGAAATATTTGTCGTCATCTCGAGAGCAGCTGCAGTCAACTCACATCTTCAGATTACCCTTGGACGGATAGGGATATGCAATCTCTGGCGGACCGGGCAGCTCCGTATTGGCCAACAAGGGCGCCAGTATGTGCTGATGACTGACGCCAATCAGCAGCGAGGCATCCTGCAGCAGGCAGGCCACCTGCGTCAACGAGGCACCATCGATTACCGTCTTGACCAGCGCATCGCATGTCTCCCCCAGCTTGCCCGCATAGATGCGACCGAAGGTGCCCTCCTTAATCAGCTGCTCGTAGCTCAAGGCGCCCGGCTGTACGCTGGGAATACGACGCAGACGCTCCTTGGTCTTGTCCCCATGACCGTGACTGGCCATAGTGATGGTGCTGCCGGTGGCAATGCCACCAAAGAGGCTGCCACTCACATTGCCACGACTGCTCTTTGGGGTCGTCATACTGCAGACCTGGCAAACGACAGAGAAAAAAGGGAACAAACTGGTTAGTAAACTTTTTAGACATAAAGGGCCATAATAGTTGTGACTTGACTTAATTTTAAAGTTGCTTGCAAACTATTTCTATTGATAGGTTAGGGTAAACTATCCTTTGATTGGTCAGATAAGGCAAAAGGTTCACATTAAAAGATTATTAAAGATAACTTGACCCATTAAAGAAATATTTAAGCTTGTTGCTTTTCATATACTTCCTGCTAATCTTTCGTGAGAGCTTAAATTCATTATGTATATATATATACATATATATATTGCGATTGTAACCTTGTAGCAATCAATCAAGCACATTTCATTTATAGAAACTGTGTTAGGCTAGAACTCATGTCCTATCAAAAAGTCTTCAACTCTATTTCTACACTAAAAACAAACTCTTTTTAGACAATTGATGAATTTTGGGATGTAGCAGATTGTAGTGAGTGGGGAGTGGTGGTAACTGGGTGGACTGGTGGCGCTACCGGCAGGCATAATGTAACAAAAAGGGCAATGAAAACGCAATTTCATCTGCCGGATTTGCATCTTTCAGTTTGCATCCGTTTACCGTTAGTCATGCACTTGGCTGCGCTCCGTTCATTCATTTTAATGAATTGAGTTCCGTTTCCGCTTGAAGGAACTGCTGATGTTGCCAACTGGCTGGCGTTGCCAACTCCGTCAAACGCTGCTTGCTCTGCCTGCGCCATAATTTGTGCATAAAGTAGGGAGTGTGGCCCATGGTGGAGTTACAAGGGAGTGGGGGCCACTGCTAGTGGGGTAGTGCCCGTATCCGCCGGGATAGCCGTAGTTGTCTTACGGCATGAATAATTTATTGGTTGGCAAAAAGCTTTAATTCGTCGAGCATTATGTTTGCATAGCCTTGTGCCAGGAGCCAGAAGACAGGCCGAGATACAGGGAACTGAGGAGGGGGAGCAGGAGTGGAAGGTGCAGGAGTAAGCAGAAGCCAAGCCCTCGACTAACAACAACAACAACAACAACAACAACAACAACAATGTGGAGCACAGCTGTAGGAAATTGCTAGCTGAGTTGTATAAACAAGGGCTTAGGAGGGATGGGCGGAAATGGGTGGATAGGGGCCTGAAAGGCACTCAAGATAAGCAGAGCAGATGGGAGATAGGGCAACAGCAGAAGCCGTAGCAGCTACTCTCTTTAGCCTTGCCAGTAGCTCATTTATTTTCATAAAATTCACACAGCGAAAATCATTTACCCGACCGGGATGGGTCTAAGGGATGGCGAGAAGAGAGAGAGAGAACGCTGGAGAAGGAATCTCAATACGCTGGTCTAATAAACTCAAGAAAAATCTCTTCATTTCTTTCTTAATTTGGTGTGGAAATTTACATAAATATGGCACAGCGTGTCTGCCCCATTTTTGCTGGGAAGCTGGATGCAGCAGGGCAGTGGTAGTTGGAATGGGATTTGGTTGCCACCTGAGAGACTCGCCAATAATTTCGTATATTAAAACAAACAGCTTCATTCGAGACGACACAATATGCGTGTGCTTGCCACAATATATTGTGGACTATTACGCTATCTCTACCTACATGACTGTTGGCAATTGTCCTGCCAATTGTAAGCCAGCAGGAGCAGCAATAGCAATAGCAACCAGTAGCAGCAATAAAAACAATAGTTGTTTGCCTTTTGTTGGGTCATTTTATTCATTATTGCCTTCACTGCCACTTTACTCCGACAGTTTGCCTGCCCCCGTACCCTCTGTCACATCTTCTTTCCCCCATCACACTCTCTCACTGTTGTGAGCCAGGCAATGGTCGGCTGTCCTTTATTGTACTTGTTTCTGCTGCTGCGACTGTCGCACAAAGAAAATTCAATTAAAAGGCAACAGTATCGCACTCCATCATCAAAGCTCTAGCTCCAACACCAATACCAGCTCCTGCTTTAGTTGGCTCTGGCCCGGCTCATCAACGCTCTCGCTCCTCCACGTCAGCGGAAGTTTGTAAATGCGGCGCTGGCAATAAATCCTTGTCGTCCAACTGGTCCAACGACATGCAAAGCGCTCAGCATACAATGCCACAGCTTTAGCCAGGAAAGGGGAAGGAGCGGGGGTCGGAAAAAGAGCGAGAACAGCAATGTCACCGACAGTGCGCAACAAAAGTGTCTGCGGACTGTACCGGCGTCGCTTTTATTGCACCAACTGTGTAAGGTCCTCTCCAGCTTGTTATATATATATATGAAATATATAAATTTGTATGTTTATTGCTTTTTTGTTGAGCATTATTTGAGCAGAGCGTTGTCCCCTAATGAGCATAGCTCAAGTGTAATTAGATTTCATGTAATCGGCTTAGTATTAAAGGCACTGTTGACTAACGCTGCATTAAGTCTATTTGGAAACTGTATCTGCAGTTAAGCTTATCCGGCTATATAGCACAGATATATAACAAAGCAGGTAAACATAAACATAAAAAGATACTGCATCTACAACAACGGGTTGTATCAAATTTTGGGAGTAGAATTTATGCAAGGGTGAACAAGCACGAAAATAATTAAATTGGTCATTAGCATTTAATTGAATGACCAAAGGTGGTAAATGAAAAAGGAAAGACCAAATACCTGCAATAACCTTGTTAAAACTAAACCACATTGAAAAAAAAAATACTCGTCTCGTAGAAAAACTTTAGAAGGCAGATTGAAATTGCCGCAAAAGTAAACATTTGCTGATTAAATGAGATTCAAATGGATTTATAAGCTTCTCAAATTCAACGATGTCATAGTTACCATCAATTATTGAAGCTCAATCAACTGATGAACAGCAACTTTGATGCTGATGACCAATTTCGATTGGAAAGGCAGCAGTGCATTTTGGGTAAATGAACCACCATCAGAGTGATGTATCCTGCATGCCGAAAGCTGAGCTATTTTTGTGAGGCATATTAAAAGTGCATGTCAAATAGACAATATTGCATTGGATTCTGCAGCTCATGTTCAAGTTGTTGTTGCTTTTGTGGGTTATTGCTTATTGCTTGAACCGAAAATTGGATACCATTCGTTGGTGCTGTCAACCGACTTTCTAGTCGCAGCTCTCTCATCTCGCTTTGCATTGACATCCAGATGAGATGGGAATGCCCGAGAGGAGAGAGGAATATGGCAGTCATCAAGGGGTAGAGATGAGGTTTGCTTGTTAGTATAAATTTGCACAAATTTAAACTCTATGCGACAAACAGGGTGGCAATGGAGAGTGTCAAAGAATAGCGAAAATAGAGACCAATATGGGAGAGAGAGCGAGGCTGGGAAGTGCGAGCTTCTATGTGTTGCTAGCTTGCCAACACAGGCGACACTTGGCAACACATAACCAACAACAGCCAGCTATACCAACAACAACAACAACAACATGGCTCAAAGCGTTGGCAATGTTGACGTTTGGTTTGCAGCTGTTTGGCTTTGTTGTGACATTTCTAATGACAACAGAACATGGCAGGCAGGCAAGCAGGGTAGGGTAGGATGATTGTTGAAGGGCAGGGGTGTTGGCTGCGTAACTGCTGGTGTGCAAATGACACGCACACACACATTCACACACATGCACACACCAACACTCATACTCGCAGACACACAAATTTCGGCTTGTACACTTGACAGGCGTCTGATTTGTTTATGTCACTTGCAGCTCTACGGCTACCCACACATAATACATACAACACACACACACACACACATTGTACTCGCTCTACAACCACAGCGCTGAGCTGCTGACTGGCTCGTAATTAAAAATGCTTGATGACAATTTTACCAACATTTCGTGTGCCTCACAGCGTTTTTGCCTGCAACACGAACTTTCAGCTCACAAACAACAACAGCAACCAGCAGCAGACAGAAACTACAAGCAGCAAGTAGCTGCAGCAGCACGAACTATAACAAGAAGCAAGGGTCCGAGACAATTTAAGTGTAATTTCAGCAAGCCACAGTGACACAAATAAGTGCAAAAAAAACAACGAAAAAATATATATTTGAAAATTTTTAATTTATTTGCGCTTACAACAAGAGAATGTTGGGAAGTAGTTAAGAGGTACCCATTGCTGGTTGTAGATTAAATATAAAAAAAGTTTGTTCTAACTAACTCAGTGACTAACTGACTGACTGACAGGTTGATTGATGACTGGTGATTATAGCTCAGCACATATGGAAAGAGTTGAAAAGGGATTACGAAACTTTCCCTTTGGTGGTAAAATATACAACACTGGAAATTTTTAGAATGCTGTTAGATAACCCTTTTATTATTTGTCGTCATATCGACTTCTCTTGAAGAAACATTTTTTCTTTGAAAAATCCATATTAAAATTTGATTAACTAACTTGATGTACCCACTGTGCATTCTCTTAATTGTTTTAAGCTAGAAAACGAAAGAAAATATGCAAATGTATGAAGCTGTCGCTTTTTCTCTTGCTGTTGCTGTTGCAGCCACAGGCAACGACAACGGCTGGTTACTACGGGGGAATACGAGCTGTCACCTTGGCATTACGATGCAAGCGGCATCTTAATGAACAGAAATTAGTCAGTTGACAAACGTAAAGTTTGTGCTCCAGCAAGAAAACCTGAGCTCGTAGCTCAATTATATTTCAATTTACCTGACTGCCTGCCAAGTTTGTGTGCTTGCTGCCCCTTTTCATTCATGCCATTTCACATTACCCATTTGCCAGCTGTGTTGAGTCGTTTGCAGTCGAGTTGAGTCGAGCCTTTAATCAAGGCTGGTGGAATTTTTAAGATTTTTTATTTTACTTATTTTCAACCAACTGAGGAAAACTCTCATTAATTTCGCATTTGGCTTTTAGCTATTGGCTGTGAGGAGAGTGAGTGTTCTAATTGGGTGGTGGTGGGGAAACTAATTTGAATTTTCGTTTGATTTATGCCTCATCGATTTGATGCATGGCAATTTGATGAGTTGCCGCCATGCTGTTGGCGTTGCCACCCTCCCACATTTTCGGTGAAACATTCGAACATTTAATAACAGTTTGGCAACTTTTTGGGCGTCTTTTGTTGTGGTCTTAAGCGTCTAATGCATAATTAAAAGGCCCGAAAGCCACGAGCCCCAATTAAAATTCTTAACCCATTTCGTTATCTATCACACGCACACATTTACACACACACATACACACACTCACCCGTACCTAATTACAGGCAATTACCTTTCAATTAAACATCGCGTGCCTGTTGACACGTCCACAGTTAAGTGTCTCTCATTAGGTATTCAATTGTTGCTTCGAAAAAGTATCTATTAATTAAATTGTTATTTAAAATGTTTTCGATTCTACTTTAATCTATTGATTGCTTGAGTAAGCCTAGCCTAACCTAAAATTGTAAATCGTAAGCATCGAAGATAATTGAATTATTTCTAACTTCATTGACAGCATTAGAGATTAAATAGGAGCTGGCAAACTAGCAGGTTAAGCGGCTTACAAACTAACGAAGCCGTTAATTAAAAGTGGAACTGATCAAATGAGAACAAAACATTTTTAAATTTAGTTTAGGTAGTCACACTTATTTTTTTGTAAATACAGCTATCAACCATAACATAAAACTCGCTTGAAAGCTGAATTTGTTCTCCATTTAATCTCTAGTTAAACTATAAGAAACTCTCGTAAAAGAAAAGTAAATATAAGTCGTAAGGCTTAAATCTCAACCGAGTGCTTTGTTTCCGTTCAGAGCAACTGCATGCTCGATAAAGCTTACTTCTCTTCTTTGCTCGTCTACTACAGATCAAGTGACACTTTAAGCTAATGTTATTTGTATATCAGAAGTGGACAACATAAGTTATTGTTGTCTGCACAGTTCAGTGTTTCATTGAACGAGCAAAACCATGATTTACGCATGGTCTCTCTCTCTCTATCCGCATAGCCCCAGGTAGTTAACACACACTGACCACAATGAAATCAGCCGAGAGCAACAAGCAAATCATCCATCTTATCGCATTGCCAGCATTCAGCGTCTACTCTAGAGCAGTGGGTGGTGTGAAAACCGCAGAGGCCTATGCCGTAAACTGCAGCTGGTCAAATCCCACACAGAGCCCATGTTGGACAGTAGAAACTCTCTCCTATTCTCTCTCTCTCTCTCTTTCTCTCTAACGATTTCTCTATGCCTGGGTAACAGGCAAAAAAGGCAACATCCGCTGGCGACTTCCGTTTGTCTCTCTGCGCTTGTCCCTCTGACAGGAAGTAATCAATAGTGTAATGGCAGACAAAAGCATCCGCCGCAGTTTGGCACTGGCCTGGTCCAGAACCTGCAGCTGAACTTGTCCACAAGCGCAAAGGGAAACTAGAGAGAAAAAACCAAAACAAAAAGTTGTGCAAAATTTGTGGAAAAAATCAACGGATGGCTACGCAATTTGTCAACCTTTGCCAACGGTGACTCCCCCCGTGGTTCCATACCCCCTCACCTGGCCAGACTTGTGTCCCGTCGCACATTAAATTATCCCCCCTTTCGACCCTGTCCTTTGTCTTGGTCCTTGTCGCAAATGTAAATAATGCGTTTTAATCAAAAGAACAACACTGGGAAATCCATTAACGGCGTACGTGCCGCACCCTATTTGCCCCAGTTGCCCCCAAGGAGGACAGTTTTCTGTACACACTCCTCTTGCCCCTCCCATTTTCTATGCCTTTGTTAAGGCCCAGGCTTAACTTTTCGCATGCTGCGTGCGTCATTTGCAGGTTGATTTACAAATTTCTTTAATGAGGCGACGACAACATTTTTAATTAGCACCTGTTTAGGTTTCACGAATCTCTCTCTCGTAATCTCCATAAAATACTCTGTGCCGGGGCGTGCTCCATGGAAATTAATTTCCAACTTTGCTCTATGTTTTCTCCTATTCTTTGCTCGTATGTTCCGCTTGGGTTGCTCACGCACTTCTTCAACTTTGCCCCCAAATGATGCCATTCAGATGCTTCGCGTGGCGGTGAGGTGGATCCTGTGCCAACTTCCAACCCATTCACTTAATGTAGTTGCTCGACATCTTCAACCGCAGCCGCCACTTAATCCCCTTCAATCCTCATCTCCTTCTGAGCTTAGTCCTAATCCAATATCCTAATGCCTTTTTATGTTTGCTTCGCTTACCCGCTCCCCGCAGTTAGTTGTTCTCCTGACCCTGCAATTGATTCATTCGAGACTTTTGTTGTTGTTGTTGCAATAATATTTTGCAAGTGTTTCTAAACAAGCACAAAGTCATGTTTCAACAGCTGTAGTCTGGCTTCCGTTCGCTGCTGTTGTTATTGTTATTTACCCTACTGTCTCCCTACCACCAACCAACCCTCCCCTCGCTTACCCATGCTTTTCCATAAGCTGTAATTGTTGTAGCTGCCGTTAGCTAAACTTTCGCTGCACATTAAAGCAATTTGGGCAACATTTATAGACTGATTTAATAGTAAGCGAAGCGAGTGCTTGCCGCTAGAATAGACACAGCGAGTGAGGAGTAGCGAGAGCAAGTGTGGGTAAGGATATGGATATTTCCACACAAGTGAGCAGATCAGGGCCGACAAAATTTCTGTGTGTGTGCACTTGGATATAATTGTTTGACTAAATGAGTGAGTTTCCACTCTGCGCCTGCCTCTGGCTCTGCATCTCCTTTGTCTCTTTGGCTGGTGCTTCAGTTTGCTTAACGCTCACATACACAGTCACATGAGTATGTAACAAAGGATGGATAATGGGGGGGTTATAACAAGAGAACAGCAATAATTATGGCAAACTCCTCCTTCTCGTCAGAGAGAGCCATATGCAATTTTGGGGCTCCACAATTGTTGAAATTCATTTAATTCTCCGTCGCATCCTTCAGTGCGATACGAGGATGACTCTTAACGTTGTGTATTATCCCAGACATCCCGATATCCCAGTTATTCATGTGAGTGCGTAAGTGAATCTATGTTTGTGAGTGCCTTTCACTGGGCATGTTTGTGGTTGTTCATGTGCTCCACTCCTGCTCCTCCTCGTCCTTCTGCTCCTCAGTCAAATGGCTCGAAACGGTTGCCATAATGACTATGAAATTGAAGTCTAAACAAACAGAAATCGTTTGAGCAAATAGCTGAGGCCAAACGAAAGCCAGGAAAGCACCAAGAATCAGATGGAGAAATGCTGAGGAATAAGCGGCAAATAAAAATTCGGAAGAGTCTCCATGGAAATTGAATATTTAATTATGCGTCGATGGAAATGGCGTTTGAAGATGGTGACGAAAATGGCCCAAACAATCATGATGATGGCGGCAAAGTGGAAGAAAACAAGAGGTGGGGTGGCTGACTTTGTTGTCTAGGAAAAATGTAAGCGTTGGTTCCTCTTGGGTCTGTGCAAAGTTTTCGTCAAAGCAACAGCAAAGAAGCTGCTAAATAATTTATTCTAATTTGGGACAGATTTGCCAAAGCCAAGAAGTTACAATTTCAGCGAGTGAAGAAGAGGGTAAGAGGAGAGTCGCAAATGAGTGAGAGAATGTATAAAAAGATTTGTGGACTATCATTAAATTAATTTGAGGGATTCGTATATGCAATGCTTGCTTGATGTTTGATAGCTGGTCTTGGGGTTTTAGTTGTGGCTTTCAGTTAGTTTAACTTTAGTTTCCTTAATTGCACTCAGCGAACATTTGGAAGAACAACAAAGAAAGGAAAATGAAGAGCAAGAGTTGCCTATCTTTATTTGTCTGGGTCTGTGAAGCACCTTTCGCTTATCTAAACAGACTCACACGCTTCCCCCAACTCTGTCAAATCCCCACTCTCGTATGAGAGCTCGTATCTATGTAATTTACCTCTGCCGGCAATGGGTTTGTGAATCGCAGCACAAGGTACGTGAGCATCACGCAAAACTTGCCCCAACCCCATTGGAAGCCAGGCAGCTGGCAACCCTGTCAGCCTGGCATCCTGGCACCCTGTCGAGTAAAAGGGAGAGTCGCATATTTATGAATGGCTGTTGTTTCGAGTTTAACGCACTTCGGGAGCTTTATCAGCTCGTAAATATAAATTAGAATTTAATTTTTATCGCCGAGGAAAGGTGGCTCGAGTGTGGTATTGGATATGGCTGCAGCCTTGGGAGCAATCGTCTGGTGAGTGCCACAAATTGCCACTGGAGTAGAGAAGAGTGGAGAGAATTGGCACTGGTGGCCAAGGCACCGACCGACCCACTGCAGGCTGAGCATCAACAGGATTCATTTCCATTTGTGCCTGGCACATGGCACGTGTCGCAACATATCAAAGGCATTGATTTACCTGAGGCCAGTCAACCCCCAGGAGGGAAATCGTGTGGCATCAGATTGAGAGAGAGAGAGAGGAAGTTGGATAGATTGGGACTCACCTGTGTTAGCTGCGAGGAGGTGTAGTAGGATATCCTCGAGGGACAGACCGATTCTGGCTTCGAGTAAATGGTCTCGCCGGTCTGGTCGCCCATTGGTAGCAGGGCGGTGGCATAGGGTGTGGGCGTGGGCGAGCTGCGGAAACCTATAGGGAAATAAGTAGTTTGTGTTCGATGACTAACATAATATTGGATTGTAAGGAGAGAGGGAATGGATGACTTACGGTCAAATATGCTGCACGACTTTTTGGTTTCCACCGGATATTTGTTGAGGCTGGCGATGGTCGCGTAGGAGCCGGTGGCACTCGGCGGTCGTCCGAGAGGATCAAGGCGAATAAATACGTTCTGATGACTGCCATAACCTGCTGTAGTGAAGCTGGTACTAATGGAAAGGTGAAGAGAAGAGTGGGTTAGTGTAATAAGCGGATAGATAATTGAATTGATGGGCCAATCAATCGGACTTACTGCAGCGAGTCCTGGCGCAGCTGTTTGCGAGCTCGCACATACATCATGCTAGCTACGAGGCCTACGGCGAGGACCAGACCCAAAGCACAAGCAGCGGCGCTCATCAGAGCGGGTCCCTGGGAAGGGGCGTGTGCTGGGGCTGGCGACTGGTTCGGCTCTGGTGAGATGCCTGCAATGGCAATAAGTAGAAACAACGATATGTAAGGATGACAAAGTGAGTGAGAGTGTTGGGATTTGAGCTTACCTTTGGCACAGATCTTGTTGCGCTTGAAGTGGAGCCGGGTATCGTTGAAGCGGGGAGGTCCTTGCACTACCATGTTGACATTCACAGGCAATTGGAGGCTGGCATTGCCCGTGCAGGGCAGGTAAACCAAGAAGGACTCGATCTCCTGCGGCACCAGGCCCTTGTGTGGAATGCTCAGCGTGGGTGTGCCCAGTGCGTCCTGGTCGTTGGCGTACTCGATGCTGATTGTGTAGCGCAACTGAGAATGGAATAAAGGGGGAGATAGCCAGTTAATGGAGTGCAAATCAAATTGCGAGTTAGATGAGAGTGAGGAGGGGAAGGGCTACTTACTGGATAAGCGATGAGACTTTGCCAGGAGAACTCCAGCTCGTGCACATCTGCCGGGACGGGGACGGTGAAGTGCATCGCGTATGTGTTAATGGCTCCCTCGTGAACGTAGAACAAATCCGCCTCCAGCCCTGCGAATGGGAGGCGAATGAGAATGTGAGAAGAATCAGGATGAGATTGGGATGCGGATGCATTCCAGGTATAAGGAGAAAGTTTATTTCACAATTTGCTTTGTTAGAAGTTCCCCTTGGAGTCTCAGTATGCGCAGTTTCTATCATTTTCTACTGCTGTGCAAACTTTGTGCATTTGTGTTTACTTTTTCCGCAAGTTGATGGCTCTGTTTCCCTCCCCTGCCACCTGCATCCACCTTTCAACTTCAACGGAAATTGATTTTCTCGACAACGCAACAACTGAGGGTAGCAGCGGATTGGCAGAGGGTGAGTGAAGTTCGGTAAACAAAACCCAAGACACAATAATAATCGAAATCGAATCCGTCACAAACAGGCAACAATGCAAGGGGCGTCAATTGGTTCTCGCTCTCGGGTGGTCTCAAATGACGCGCGACAGGCGACAGCGGGTAGCGGACGGATTTCAAATGGGGTGAGACCAAATATTAAAAGGTGTCAAGTGTTGTCTAACTCGATTGGAGGCGAGACATCAGAAACATCATCATCATCATCATCGTCATTCGCTTTGCTTTGTGTAACTCGTAACTAGCTTGGAAGCGCCCTAATCCCTGACCCCGACCCTGGCAGTAACTCATCCCTGCTGGCAGTGAAAGACGAGCTGTTCGAGTTAAAAAGACGTGAAATTAAATTTCTTCATCCGCTTTCATTGTTGCCACTGCCTCACTACCAAATTTCCCTAACTCTGCTCTTTCCTAGTCGGCTGCTTTATGGTGCATCATTTACTCCCTGGGATCAGGCTTAGTGGCGTTCGCATTTATCTTGGTTTCGCTTTGCTTTGAGAGTCGCAAATACTATTTACTCTACTCTACCTCCTTTCAGAAAGATACGGCGTCTGTTGCGGATGTTGAATGTTGCGTTTCCGGCGGAGGCAAGACTGAGTGAAGGACAACGGCAGAGCCGCGTATGTGAAAGTGCGCGCACTTTGGATAGAAGAAGAGGGGCTCAATTTTTAAAACAATTTCAAATCCAATTACAGAATAAGAAAAAGCATTTTTCGTTAGCTCCCTTCCATTCTTGGCTTGGCAAAGAACTTCCCCAATTCTTAAGCCATTTTTCTGAACAGTTTCATTTTGTTTTTGAATTTGAAATTGTTGAGCATCCCGCTGACTTCCTAGACTCTTCAAGTTAACCAAAGTGAGCTACTTTCCTTTTATTCCGTTTTCCGCTTTCCGCTGACAAACTGCACAGCTCTCAATGAAGCAGAAGAGAGTAAAACGAGAGGCAAGGTGCTGCAACTGCTGCTCAACTCTGCCCCTTGGTCTTGTTTTTCATTCATTTAGAGTATTCGTCACAGACTAAACAAAACACACAAACATAACCTCAAAACGACTCACATTAAAAATGCACAAGCACAGGAAAAGAACAATGTCATTCAGCCCGGAACAATGATGAAAGGATACAAACGGTGACAGAGGAATTGCAAGTGGGTTCTTGTAACCGCAAATGGAATGAGAAATGCACTTGTGACAAGCTTAATTAATTCAATTCTGATTGAAAACGGATGTGATTCACGTTTAGAGGGAGTTCAACTTTTCGATTGGCATTTCTAGCGAAATTTAAAACACATCCTGAAAGCATCTTTAGTTTCACTAGTCCCTTGTGCTAGCTCAGATAAAGAGGACATCCAACTTGGTTACGGGTCCAAGTCCTGCTCCGTCGAACTTTGGCCGTCTTTCATATCACACGCCTTGCACAGCTCCAACTTTGCCGTCGCCTGAGAAACTTTTGGCTCGTTCACAAGTCTTCTTCTCCTTCTGGCTTGCCCCAGTAAATTCCCCCTGCTGCCCGCCTGCCCATCCACCATAATTATAATACCTGCGATTGTCTGAATGGCTTCGCCGCACACACGTGACACTGCAACCGCAGACGCTCGCTGCCAGAGCTGGGTGAGGAGGGTGGAGGGTGGATTTGTGGACTGAGGCGGCAGGAGGAAAGCAGCGTCTGATTCCGACTTTGACAATGCCGTCACACAATTTGCATAAAAGATTAAGAGGATAATTAGTGTCATTAGATGGCAGCCGCTTTGAAGAAGTGCAACGTGCATTCCCTGAAATTATCATCTCTCTTACCCCGTCCCTCTAACCTGTTTCATTCTCTCTGGGTGACACCTAGACACGGCTTATCCCTTTGCAGTGAATGCAGTGCTTTTAATTGCCTGTGCTCCTGGAATCAGAGTAGAGCTCGGTACTTAATTGACACAGTTTACAAATCTCACACACCTTCTATTTCTTTCATGTTTTTCATTTTTCTTTGCAGTTTACTCAGCAATAAAGCGAATCGACACCAAAACACACTGATAAACCAGAGGAGGAGTTGGGGGTGAAGGGTCGAGGGTTGGTTTATTAATGTGGCGATTTTCGGGCTGTTTTCTATTCATTAAAAATAATTTTCTTTTGCATTAACTTTTAATTTAAAGGGAAATTCCCAGCCCAAGGTGGGAGAAGCTCAAGATGTTGGAAGGTCTTGTTTCTCGTGGGGTTTGGGGCCAAGAAATGTGCACATCAAAGTGAAACTTGTTGAAATTGCATTTTTACGCGCCCTTGCACACCAAGTTCTAGGAGGGGAGAAGGGGGTGGGGATGCGGATGGGGATGGGGATGGGGATGAAGATGGGGCAACCCTCCTGACTGGTGACTGACGCTGGCTGGTGTCGCTGGCAACATTGGGACGAAAATTGCTTGTTGCTGGGGCAACGCGATGGAATGGAAGGCAGAGCGGAAAATCTTCAACAAAAGCGTAAACAATATTTAATTTTAATGTTGTCGTCACTCCTTCGAAGGAGAAGGAATCGACATACATATAATATGTAGTATAGTTAGAGGGAGCAGAATAAAAATCGTTTAACTTATGCTGTGTGGAACTTTCCTTCAAATTGTGAGTAGACAGACATGTGAGGGCGGAATACTGAACTGATGTATGTACACGACTTTTATTACGAGAATGCATCACGTCAATCACAGTCAGGCCAGCAATAGAGGCACAACCGGAGAATAAAAGTATTTCAGAAATGTGCACACTTAAAAGGGGAAGGAGACTGGAGTTGGGGCTTGGAGATGGGTCATGCATCCCTGACGCGACTTCCACATGAACAAATAGCCATAGAGACATATGCGGAGGAGGGTGGGCGACCTGAAAACAAATCATGCAACAGAATGTCGCACGCGGGAGGAAGGGAAGCTGTTGATGAAAGGAGGGAAAGGGAAGGTGGGCGGGTCAGTTTGTTTGATTTCATGCTGCTTGTTAATTTTGAAATGGAAACAGACCGTGGGGGTGGCAAGTATTGCGGGGCGGGGGTGTTAACTGGTCGTTAAAAACATAACGAGTTCTGTGGATGGGGAAAATCAGAAGAAGAGGAAGGGTGACCGGAGGAAGTGACAGAAGAAATCTATGGGAATCATGCAAAGCAGAGGAAATTACAAAGAGCAACAAACAAAGTGGAAGATTCTTTGAGTTGTCGTTAATGAAATCCGATTTGCATTCAAACGGGAAAGGGTTGAGGATGTGCAGAGGCAGAGAGAGGGACAAAGCCGGCCGGGAGAGTGTATCATGCCTCAGCAAACTCGATTGCAAACCACCAGAGAAGTGCTACGAAGGGGCTAATATCAGAACAAGCTCATAAAGGAGCGGGAGGATTAAGATGGGGTCAAGTGAGACAGTGACGTTGGCCACTGTTACAGTTCAGAGTTGTGGGTTATTCGTCAATCTGGGACTCGTGTGGCACTTGTGTGGATTATTTTTATGCTGCTCAACTAATTGAAGTGCCGTGATTTGGCGATTAGGAGCGACGACTGTGAGTGAGCCTGCATAATGAGATGGAAGTATTTTGCTCCAATTACAGTTAAGTGCCGGAAAATGCTGTGCACAGCTAACGGACGAATGATGGAGTAGTGGGGTAGAGTTGGAATTGGAATTGGAACAGCTTCGACTCACATTTTGGAGCCATGAACCATTAATCAACGAGAGGCACGACGTCATTCCGCCCTGGCACGCCGAATGAATGCCTATTACTGTAACTAGTTTTCAGGATACAAATAGGAGTAGGGGCTGGAGCGGGGAAAGGGAGGGCTGGGCCTGACACAAGGTCGATCTGGAGGCACTTGAACGGTTGGCGCCATCAATAACGAGGCCTCGCTTTGAACAACAAGCTGCAAAACAACAAAACAAACAACAAAATGCTCAGCACTGGACTGTGAAGTCGTTAGCAATTGGAAGAGGGTGGAGGAGGGTAAGGAGGAAAGCCACTTGCAGCTGTCAACAGGGTGGCAAAGGTGCGAGGGTGACTCAGTCTTTGGTTCCGGGCTCCAGCCGGAAATCGATTTGTGTGGATTTGTTTTGTCGTGTTTTCGCGCAACTTTTGTGGTCGTCGTCGTCGTCGTCGTCATGGTCAACAATTATTTTGGAACTATTAATGACTGCGACGTGGTCTCCGCCTATTCAAGACCCCTCTACCAGGCCACTTCCCCACGCAGACATAGTCTGTTTGTTTTTCCTGTTGAGGAGCAATGAATTTGTTCTGTCGCACTTTGCCATTCAACTATTAATCATATCTATGGGGCGGGGTTTGTGGCCTGTCTGGAAGTTCTATCAACTGTCCCAACGATTATTTCTTAATCGATATGTGTTTTCCCACCCAGGAGACATAGGTCTGTGATGTAGACTTACCCATCAGTTTCATCACTTCATGGTGGCTGATGAAAATGTTGAGATATGCGCTGACCGAATTCAGATGACAAGTGAGCAGCGAGATCCAGACCCACTGCAGCAGGAAGTAGCGATTGGTGGCCATAGTGGGTAAGTGGGGATCTGCAACTTCTTCTCCTGATATGGTGTCTGGGTATGCTTATCTGCGCGCCAGACGTTGAATTAATAACTTGTCAGAGCATGTGTCGCCACAATTGGGGCTCATTTCAATGGAACCCCCTTTCTTCTGGTGGAACTGTCTTCCCCTTTGGCTGTATGACAGCCAATTTCAGTGTGTGGCAATTGAAGCGTTCAGGATGCACAGGCGCAGGAAATAAGGACTGAGCAATGGGAAGGAGACTTCCGCTGGGGGCACAATTTTGTCTAAAAGAAGAAGCGTTAAAATCAAATTCCAGCAACAGCAACTGCTGCTAACAGTTCCGGATGCGGCCACAAAGCGATGAGGATTCAGTCTGCCAAAATTTGGAACTTTTCAGCCGCTGCAGCTGCCTCTGACTCCCCCTTCTCCTCAGCTGTCGACTCTCCCCTTTTGCACACAGGGTTCAACTTTTCCAGTTTTGTTTTTGTTGCGGTTGTTTCTCTTGTTGTTGTTGTTGCTGCTGGATTCGCCTGTCGACTGCAAGCGGCATCAGCATTTTCGCATCTGACTCTGCTGGACTTTCGTTAGCTTTTTTATTAGCCACTCCTCGCCCTTGGCTACCTATTCCTCCCACTATTACTCCTTTGACCAACTGGTGCTGCTGCTGGTGGCTTGGTTCTTCTCGTTGGTGACGTATTCCCAGCTGGTCAGCAGAGAGTGGACAACAGTGACCAGTAGCCCGTTATTGGTGTCGAGCACGTGTCCTGGTTGTCCTCGTTGTTCTGGTGCCCTTTTTGTGTCGTCTGCTCGTCTAGTCGTGGGTTGCCTGGTTGGTTAGTTTGTTCTGTAGAGAGTCCTGTTGAATAGAAAGTGATTTAGTTGAGTTTCGGACAGTAGCTGAAGCTGAGAAGTTGAAGTTGATGTTGGTGACACTGTGTGGTTCGAGAGTGGGCAGTCAAGTGTGGTTGAGTGGCTTTGTTGTTTGTTTCGAATATAATTTGTGAATGAGGTTCTCAAAGAAAGTTCTCTGGCTGCAAAAGTAATTACAAAGTTGAAAAAAGATTAACAGCTTGGGGAATCGCATATGCATTTTCCCACAGTTTTAGGAAAGGAATTATGAGATTGCTCTCCTGATTCTCGTACGAGTTACTTCGACTGACGCTTTAATAAATACGTGTTAACATTTTGGTTCTGTGCATTAAATTATTGAAGAAACATTTGAAGAGCAAACGAGGTAAATAGGAAAAACTTTGGCTTTCGGATTTTGTGGTTCAAGTGGTTTTTCCCCTTTGTTTTCCCCCTTTTTCAGCTGGTTGCGTGCAGCTACACGAATGGATTTCCAGGTGCAGTTAGAGCCAGAACCAAAACAAAAACAGTTGGTTCTGTTGAAAAGTCAAGAGTTGGCATGGAAATAGAAAGGTGAACTGAAATAGAAGTGGAGGAACGGCTGTCAAGTGCCTCCGAAATGAAATTGTTGCCAAGAAACCGACCTCGAATTCCACCTGATTCTTCTTTCCCTCTTCGCGTTCTCTAATCTCCATGACAGCAGATTGGAAATTGTTTCAGAGTTTTTTGGCCACAATAAAAATCGAAATCAGAAAACTTTGCTGCTTCCACCACTACTTCATTATGTTTCTGATTCGCTTATCCTTTTGGCATTTCATGCCCATATTTTATGTAGCTATGGAAAACTGCTTAAAGCAATGCGCAATTTGCGGTCAAGGCAGATCGAGGCGTGGCAGCCGTGAGGGCAGCATCCAATAAATGTGCTTGGGATTTAATTAAACTTATCTGCGATGAAAACGGACGCCGCAAGGATGCACCAGGCGACGACTCACTTGATTAAGAGCCAGGTCATCAACAGACTTCAACGGCAACTCAATTCAGTACAGAAGCTGGCCAGGCAACCACAGCGACAGCTTCAAGCCAACTCCGGGTATAAACCCTTCAACAAATTCATTAATAATTCAAAAGACAAATAAGCACTTGTAAGTGCTCATGTGTGTGAATATGCGTGCATGTGTGTGTGGTTATATGTGTATGTATGGTTTGTATGGGTGTCTTGTTTGTGTTGACATTGCGAGGAATGTAACTGATTTAAATGGAGCAGCCGACAAACAACCGGCAGCCGAGCAGTTTCCATCCAATCTCCTTCGTTTGCACCCCACCCATCCTCTCTCAGCAGTAAAAGCTGCCAAGTCGCGAGCGCGTGGAAAACATTCGCTCAAGGATGCGTTGATTCTCGTCGTCATCGATAACATATTAACGACGTCAACTCAATCATAATCAGGACGAAGGAGGAGATGGAAAAATGGGGAAGGCAGAGACTTTGATAGGGAGTTCGCTCTAGGCAGCAGGAAGCAAGTTATTGGGGAGACCCAATGCTGGCAATTTTCTGCTTAGTCACACGCACCATCAGTCAGTCCCAAACCTCAAGCCATCGACTCCTAGTCTCAGCTGTCACGCCCCTCGCCTCCCTAGTCTTGCGAGTGACAAATTGAGCGACGGGTTTTGTCTTTGGGTTGAAGATGATGTTCGGGGCGCTGACGATGATGATGTGAGTCTTGGCAGTTGTCTCAAAAAACTTTTCAATTACATGATTCGCTGTATAATGAATAATCATCTTTCGTTTCCCTACAAGCCATTATCATTATCGCTATAGACTTTCCTTCTCCGCCCCTTTTGCTAATTTTTGCTGCACACAATATTTATTGATGTTCTTCATTGTTTGGCTTGAGTATATTTACAAACATTTCCCGTTTATCGTTCATTTCGGTACAGCAAATCAGGGGCGGTTTTTGGGTGGGTATAGGGAGACGAAACTGCCTTGGGGCGTGGCATGGCTGGCAGCTGAGGCTTGTTTCAATTATAAAATGGCTTTCGTTTCTAATTGAATCGTGAGTTTGAGTTAAGCAAAGTTAATATTTTATTTCCGCCTCGTTGTTGTTTCAATTGCAGGTCCTCTCACTCCAGTTGCTCCCTTTTGGGGCGCACTCTGCCCTCTGCTGTTTGCCAAGCTCCCCCATTTGGCGACTTTAAATGCCAGATTCGACTTGCTCCCGTTTCCCATTTCCTATTTCCATTTGCCATTTCTAGACTCGTTCCAATTGCTGTGTTGCCAAGAGCCGCGAGGCATTTGCTTTTGCTTCAATTGCAGACACAAAGGATGCCGTGGCAGGGGTAGGCGCAGGGGCTGCTGTCTGCCTTCGCAATTGCTGTTTTTGTGTTGTTGTTGTTCTTCTTATTGCTGTTGATGATAAACTGGCAACAGATTTTATTGCAAGCAAAAGCAGTAGCTGAAGTCGCCTTGGCTATTAAGCTGCCCCAGAAACCGTACATAAAAACCAAAAAAAAAAAACTAAATTTTAGCTCTTGAGTAATTTGACATATTTGTATTTGCAAATAAACTCGATTTCAATCCATTGCCCTGTGGCACTTTGTTTGGCACTCATTTCGCACATAGCTGGTCGCCATTTGCCCCAGTCAAATGTTGCGTCATTTCGCTCATTAACTTTAATGGAAAACTGCCACAACCCGCAACATTGCGCCAGTTTTAATATGCAGCAAACACAAATAAATTAATACAAACAGTCAAAAGTCAGACAACAAAACTCGTTGAGTCAAGAGGGGAATTCAGAGGAGGCGCTTGTGTAAGCGACTTCATTAAACTAAACGTAAATATTATACACAAAAAAAAAATAAATAAAAATGGAACTCACAGTAATAAAATTCAACTAGAATGAAAACTGTTTCCACCTGCTTCTCGACAATGTTCCAAATAAATTTGCAGCTTTCCATTTTGATGGCTGATTAAAAATAACGAGCGACATTTGCATCTGTTTACCTGGCAATGACAAAATGTTGTCATTATACCTATGGAACTGAATATAAATAGAAGGGTATACTCTGTCTTGTCATTGGATTGTCATGTTATGTTACCAGATATTGACTGATTTTAAGTAGAAAATTCAAGCATTGGAAGCACCTGAATGTTTTCTATTTGTTAAAGCTGAGCCAGACTATCTCAGCCATACTTTAGCACAGCAATTCTTGCATCATTTGAAGAAATCACAGCACAGTTAAGAATGCGTAATTAATCATATTGAGTCAAAAGGCCTATTCTTCACTCCATAATTACTGATTCCAATTGTAATATTATGAATACAGCCACACATTTAATGCATGCATATTCATAATTAAATTTGCCACAGCTGGCCTGGGTATATTATAGTTGGGCACTTCGATTAAATGTCATTTGCTGGTTATTGGGCAATTACTGCGTGTGGGGAATTAAGGAGAGTCGAAGCTCTATGTACGTATTTAGACCATTTCTGCCAGCATTTTGTGCTGGATAGGCCTAATGTCCAAAATGTACAAAGTGTACAAAGCGTTCGAAATGTTCGTCGGGTTGGCTAATTTGTACAGGCAATTAATTTACATTTGGGCCTAGGGCGATGGCCATTATTGTGTGGTGCAGCAACGGATGGAGAGGTGGTTGTGCCAGCCATTTGTGCGATTTTGTTACATTTTGGTGCTCTCCGCTCTGCAAGTAAGGAATACATATGTAATATTGAGGGGCTAACAAGGCAAAGTGGGGTGTGGAGAGAGAGACAGAGAAAGAGAGAGAGAGAGAGAGAGATATATAAAGATAGAGACAGACGATTTGTCGTTTGTGCATAGCGGAACATGTGTAGTAAATATCGCAACTCCATGGACACTAATAAAGCCTGTGGCTCAAATGGTGGTTGAGCCTGGTGCTGATATCGCTGCGGTGGTATTGTTGCTGCCTGTGGTATCGGCTCTGTGTCATATAATTTGTTGCTATTTAATGGACAATTTGCAATGAACTCGAATAATTTATTTAAGGCTAGAAGCGTGTTAAGTCAATAACTAAAAGCTTAAAGCTTAAATAGATAAGCACAAACTTCGCAATTAGGAAAATTAAACACAGATCCAAACACATACTTTCAAATCCATTGCAACAGAGATTCAATAATCAGACTTATAGAAGGAAACTATCCCTTAGTCAGAAATACATTACAACATAGAGACTTTAACGTTAAGTCCCTCATTCACATATTTATTTTAATTTTAAACAAATGCCGTGACTAAAAAAAATGAATAAAAAATAAAATATTTGAAGTTCATTTTCATCCCATGCAGTAATTATTATTTTAAGTTCTTGCCATAAAATATCTTCATTTCGCATAATATAACAGTTCCAGCTTAAATAAACTTTTTCCACGCGCAAAAGTTTCAAGTTAATTTAATGAAACCCACAATAGTTTACTGAATACATGTGTGGTTGTCACGAACTTCAGTTGTCTGTGAGTCATTTTAATAATAATTTATTTAAACATCACTTATATAAAAATTCAGTTGAGAAAGTTGAAGAATACTACTTAGAACAAACAAATAACTTGCTTAATTTAAGTACACATTTTACTTTAATATTGCTGGAAAGAAAACCTTACATTTGACATGAAAACAATCCCAATTATGTTTTATGAGCGCTTTTCGATAACTCTTACAGCCAGTGGTCGTCTGTGGCCATTTCTCTCAGCATTATGTGCGGCAAATTTATTATTATGGCCGAGGGAATGTGACACAATCGCAGCCAAGCGATGACACTTTTAGGAGCCCTAAACCACTCAACCACCCAAACATCCACCCATCCTCCCACTCGAACCTAGGATTGTTGGTGTCTGGCTGTAGCTTTTATCTGGCAAGTGCCATAAAAAGAAATAACTCGAATCAACGACCCATTTTAAAGCCTCGAAATGTGAGCCGGGCAATTCCCACGACAATGGCTGGCAATAATCATTGATTTATTATGGCTGTCGTTTGGGCTTATTAAAATGATATCTCAAGACAAAGAATCATATACAGATTTTGGATTTATGACCTTAAACTCTTTGCCATAGCTGAGTACAATCTTGAGGAAAATTATACCGGGGATTAAACGCATAGAACTCAAGTATTCTTTTGACCTTTTTAAGTTATAAGTGCAATGGAGATTGGGGCAAAGTCCTCTCTAATTGAAACATCGAGTCGTAAAGCCGTGCCACAAAGTAGGGCGCTAAGAGCGTGCCTAATCTATGCATATTTCTCAAGTTGGTCCCATAATCAGAAGCCGTCCACTTAGCAGGCGACCCAAACTAAGGCAAACAAAATGAGAAAACGAAAAAAAAATAACAGGAAAAGCGAAGGGAAAAGAAAAGAAGCGGAGAAAACTGTAGCATATATTGCGGGGCAACATTTAGTTGCACTTTGGCAGGGCCCATTGTTGTACCTAATGTTTGCCCATTTATGTTTGAGGCAAGCTCGCGCGCGTGACTCCTGGCCGAGCACTTAGGCATTCCATCAGCGTGCCGCATGGCGTGTCTGGGGCGTTAGCGTGCCAAAATGTTCGAGAGGAGTACGGCAAGAAGGGGTGCGGGATGCGGGGTGGCAGACTATTCAAAACTGTCCAAGCGCAGCGCAGGATTTGCATAACTTTACGCTTTCTCAAGTTGTTGTTGTTGCTGCTTTAGATTTGAACGGATTTTGCGGCCATTTACTTTCGCTTACTTATAATAGGACGCAAGCATTACTTGTATACCCTGTAGTACTATCAGAGGATGTGCATGACGAACTAAAGCTGTAAGTTATGTGCCTCAGCTCTTTTTTTCTATTGTTTGAATTGTCTACTCAACTCTATACAGCTCTAAATTCTGTACACATATAGTTTTACAGGGCATTTGCCATTACTCAACTTGTTTGGATTGGCCTCTTTGAAACGCTGGCCAAAAGCTTTTAATCTGTCGCACATTGCAATTAGTGTCAACGCTTAGCACCAGACACTCCTCAAACAAAAATACACTGCGAGAAAGTTATGAGTCATCATGAGAATTCATGGCTACAGAGAAAATGCTAAACTTGTATAATACCAATTACAATTTTCTATATAAAGGTCCGACCTTTAATTTTAATGATATAATTACTTGAAGAGATTTTCAAAAAGTGGTAAGCGTTGTAAGTTTTTTGAAACTTGTACTTATTAAAATGTAAGTGTAAACTTCAAATTTCAAAACCAACTTATTATCTTAGGTTCTAGTTTATCGCTTAGTGTACTTAACTCACACACACATACACACACTCGTACACATTTATATATGTGAGTAAGGGACGAATGGAGAAAATGTGAAAATATTTATTTAGTTTCACTTTGAAGTGGGTCGTCTGCTGCCGTCCCATCTCGATCCGTGCTGGCTGGTTAGTCACGGCTGCTGCATTTGGATTTGAGACGCGTTCGAGATATATCCTCGATTTGTGTGTGTGTGTGTGTGTGTGTGTCCGTGCGGGTGTTTAAGTTGTTTTTGGAGTGTTTGAGTGTTGAAAAAAGTGTTTAGCAAAACACATTAAATGCTTACTTATCAAAACACAATCAGCTTAGGCGCAGAGTCCTCTGTCGTGTCCCATATCCTGTGACCTGTGCGGACTGTCAAATGATATGAAATGTTATGCTTTTAATCCTTTCATTGCCAATTCGACACAGACGCGTGCGGGCCTGATGGCCAGTTAACACGCACAACACCAACACACACAACACAGACACACTCGCACAACTTAATCCTTTTGGCTGAGACACAATTCACACTTTTATTTGCCTGGATGGCAATATATCATTTTTCACAGGACAATGCCAATCGTTGACAGAAGCGAGCAAACGAACGCGCACCAGCGTGAGAGGTAATGAGAAAAGCGCCTTGAAATTTAAGCGCTTAAGAGCCCATTTAAGCCTGTCAACATGGCTCTTGGGCCACTTGGGGCTCAGTGTCCTGACGCGCTTCTGGTTGTCACAGCACGCGCGAGCAAGCCACGGGGCAACCCACTAACCGCGAACAAGTATAATGCTGCTGCTGCTGCTGCTGCTGCTGATATTGATAATGATAATGATGACGTCGACGATAGCGAGAAGCACGTTCTGCGTTTACGTTTATTAATGATTTGGTTGATTCGGCTGGATTTCGAAACTAGTGCAATATTTTGCGGTTGCTTATAAGCTGGACGGAGACTCACGTTGTTTCACTGCTGCTGAACTGCCGGCGATTTTGCAAGTTTTTGCGCGTGTGCTTTTCGCTCCACGACCGACTGACTCTACCGGAAAGCTGTGTGCGACTAAACGTTGCACTAACCAGCCGGATGGCTAGAATATCGAAACCCCCCCAGGAAACACGAAGTGACCCGAAATTTAACTTCGTTTCTAGCCTGTGTGGGCACATGCGCAGTTTGGCTTGAAATATGCCGGTTGCTCTGGGTGGGTTTGGGGGTGGTGTGGTTGGGGGGTTCTGCAACAGCAGAAAGGACAATTGTTTGCTGGCTTGCTGCTGTTGCCACATGCAACTGTTGCGCATTTTTTTCAAAATGGGCAAAGTGGAGCATTTGTTATTGTTGTGCTTTTATTTTTATTTATTTTTTTGGCTTCTCTCGTTTTTTTTGTTAAGAGAAAGAGAGAGAGAGAGAGGGAGAGAGTGGGAGAGAGAGGGAGAGCGAGTTGCTGGTCAGTTTCGGTGGCCGATTGATTTCTTTTGGAGAAGCGATAAGCTAATAAGCATATCACATAATTTAATAATAATTATTGGAATATTATTACAAGGCACGATTAATTGTATAACACGCAAGTGTGGGCCTCATATGAATATGCATATGAATAATAATAATTGTTGACTTTTGCCTTTGTCAATTCATTAAGAGTATTACCGACTAGTTAATTGGTATACAACTGTTAAGGGTGTTCTGATTAATATTTCTTTATGTAGTAATAAAAGCAATATTCGAATGTAATCGAAGAATTTTTGTGTAGTGCATTTTCATGCAGAGCTAATGCAATCATTGTCGTTGCTAAATATTTGTCATTGCCATAGTTTCAATTGCTTTGACAAGATTTAGAGCTGTTTTGTGGGCCAAACTGCAATAGAGAACGAGGCATGCAACGGAATTGGGCTCTTGTTTCGTACACACACTTGCATATATTTAATTGTATTTCAGTCGTATGCATGTGTGTATGTATATGTGTGTGTGTATGTGTGCGTGTGTGTGTGTGTAAGTCAATGTGTGGCTGTGACAAGTAGCCCTATTTGTTGCGCTACAAATTCAATTTGTCACTCAAAAGCCGTCGAAATGAAGCAATTTCCTGTTAGCTGCCAACAACAGCAACAAGAAGAAGAGAAAGCATATAAGGAGGAGGACGAGCATGGGAACGAGGACTTGGAAGAGGACGAAGAGAACCAGAACACGATGACGAACTGTTAGGAGCAACATTTCCCAAACTAATTAAATGAAACGAACTCAACGAAGTTAGAACCAAACTAAGCAAATTGGGCAACTTGTCGTTGTAATTACATCAAAATATCTATAAAAAAAAACAAGAAAAAGTAAACGTTGCACAAAAAAGAATATATATATATATATAAACTGTCAGCTTGATTCATTTGGGGAAGGAAAGTTATTTGGCAGGACCTGTCCCAGTCTGACAGATGGCCGAAGCTGTCAACTGCCGACACAAAGCTCAATTTGCTGCAAGAACGAATGTCAATTAAAATTTTTTAATGAAATAACTTTCTTTGATTTTCAGAGCCATTGTTAGAGGTGCTGGCGGGTGCGGTGGGGCAGCCAGGCAGCCAGGCTGTTTGGTTATTTGCCTTTGCCTGCTACAGAAATTCAATTAAAAAAGGTTGATTAGTTCGCAATTACATTGCCAAACGCCTTAAATATGTCTCATTACCAGCAACGAAAAGCAGCCTAAAAAGCAACCAAGAAAAATAATTTCGTAGCCATTTTCTGACAGTCTCCACAGGCAGGACACTTTAGACTTTGGACTTTTAATTAAAGGCAAAAAAAAACTCTTGAGCTACAGCATGAAAAATATCAAATTGAAAATCAAATCAGAGGCATCTTAAAAATAAAGGAAAATATTCGTGCTGTGCAGTGGAAAACCCTTTTCCTAATTTGTGGCGTCATTTATGATGTTTACACGTGCAACAGTCGAATTAATTGCAGATGGGAGATTGGAGAGTGGAGTTCCTGCAGTTGCCACGTGTCTTCTATGGCCATTAAGTAGCGACCGAGTAGCTTGCAAGAAAAAGCCGATTAAAGACAAGCGTTTCTCGGAGGGAGTGCTTTACAGCAACTGAGAACATATAACTGATAAGCGAAATAGTGAACAAAACCACATGAGAACCACTAAGCCGCCAGACGTGCACTTATCAGCAAGGAGGCAAGAACTAACAGTCAAGGGACACGCCCACTTTTCAGTAATGAGTCCAACTCGTTGCCAAAACACACACAAAAAGTGAGACAAGGAATCGGTAAGGGAAGGGCGTTGAAATGAAAGGTTAAGCGAGCCACCACTCCGTGCAACAAATGTGTAGAAAAAGCTGCAAAGCAGGATAACAATAAGCAACAAGAACAAAAACAACAATTGACAGACGCTTAAACAGTTGCAGGAACTGGAAAAAGCTGCAGCAAAGTGGCAAAGTTCACACCAACCCGCAGTAAGGATGCCGAGTATGGGAAGGGGGAGGGAAAAATCCGAGAAAAACCCAGAAGCACACAGCAAAGCGTTATAAGGCTAAGGGAAAAGGATAATAATGCGACTGCGAGAACAAAAACAAATACGTGAAACTCGATCTGTGGCTGCGACTGGGTTTAAATGTGTGTTTGAGTGAGTTATGTGGATGTGCATTGTGTGTGTGTGTGTGTTGGGTGTAAGTGGTAAGTGGCAGGCAGGCACACGCGAAGCAGAGGACAACAACAAACAGAAAATAGAATCTAATCGCAATAAAACGAAATGGAATCCCCTTAATGCACCATGTAAACAAAATAAGCACGTGACCGGCAAAAGGGCGACTTCTCCCCTCAACATTCTTAGACTACCACGAAGCTTGTGTCCTGCTGGCGCCAAACAAATTGCCTCGTGAACATAGTCCAGCCAGGCAGCAACTGTAGATGCAGCTTCAGAGAGTCATCGTGGCGCCATCATAAAATGAGGAGAGTCTTGAGGCGTCTTGGAAGATTTTCAACTGCCTCTTGATAAAATGGGATGAGGAATGAATAATTCACACTTGACCAAACTCTGCGAATGCACTTTTCATTTCCTCCTGCCACTTTTATTCTTTTCAACAGTATTCAGAGTCCTTGAACGACTGTCGAGTTGTGGTCGCTTTACAAATCGTTTCAGATTCTCAGAGCAAATATGTTAAAAGGCAGATCAGGAGTAAGGAGAGTGCAACAATATAAAAGATGTATCTCTGATGTGTCCGATGAGAGTCCGTTGCAATCCTTTGCCGCAGTCCGCAACAAAAGCAACACAAACTCGGACACTTGCTGCCACATTTTGGGGCATTTCCTTTAACGCCTTCCAATCTTATTGTCAGCAGCTGAGAGTAGAAGAAGAGCTGAGGAAAGCTGAGGGAAGCTGCTGCCACTTGCAGTTGAAATGCCTTTAAATTTGATATCTCATGCTTCCGGTTGTGGGTCTGAGAGATTCCACTTGGCCTGTTGCCAGCTGCCAGGTTTCTATTGGCTCACGTATTCCTCACTTGTTTCCATCCAAATAGTTAATTACCTCGATAAATGGGGAATTACAGCACTCAAAAGAGCATATGGGGGCAATAACCCCATCTTACTTGGCCCCAACTATGTTTCAAACTCAACTCCACTTAATTTTATGCGTCACAATTTGCTTTTAGTGATTCCCTTTCCACAGATATGTTAAGAATCTCCGACAGGACTCGCAACTATCAAGATTTTACGAGTGAAGTTATGAAGTCCGAAGGATAATAATGGGCCAACACTTTATGCTTGGCACTAATTCAAAATCCGCCAACAAGTTTGAGAAACGCCTTTGGCCAATGCCAAGTTCGCTTGTATTTGGCTTGTTGGCAGCCGAAGCAGACATGAACATTTTTGCACTGAGAGAAATGCAGTCGAAACAGTTCTTATGATATTGCTAATATTATTATACAGAGGGAAAACTAAATGCGAAACTCCAACCAAAAGTCAAGCGAGTGAATTGTTTGATGATTTGAGGCACAAACTCAGTGGCATCCGAATTGCCACAGGGATAGAGGGACGAATAAGGAAGGAGGCTGAGAAAGTAAGTCGGAAGTGAGGAAAAACTTTGCTTGCCAACAACAACAGCAACAGAAATAGTCTTCAACGAACTGGCTCCACTTGGATGTCGGCAATCTGCAATGGCCCAAAAGGATAAGCAGCATCGCAACATATAATATCTGCCTATCCAAAGGATAATGGAAAAGGGAGAGTCGACTATGTATACTAAGGACAGCTTCTTTTTGCAATGCTTTTATTACTCTTTGCTGTCTGGAAAGAGACTGCTGCATGTAGCGACAAATTTGTATGATTGGTAAAAATACAGAGCCAGACATTATATGGAATGAGAGGATATGCGAATAGAAGTATGGGGACATAACTATGGGGAGCACGCTGGGTAAATGAAGTGTGACGCTTTGTTTTCCTTTGA